ACAACTGTTTAAATTTGCTTATGGGTCCTCCTTGGAGTTTATCGGTTTACATTAATGATCACAAAAACCTGCTTCTTTTCATTTTTAAGGTATTGTTTTCATTATAATGTACTGATTCAAATGAGTAATTCATTATTTTTTCTACTTCTCCTGACATGCTCACACAATTCGGCTGAAAACAGTAGCCTATAGTGAAACAGGACAGCGCCCAAACATCCTCACATTATATTATTTCGTGGACAATTCATATAAATTCTCCATCTTTCTAAAGAAGTTGACGCAAACATATGGGTTTATCAATGTTTTTTCTATTGTGTTATACGTGTATGCCTTTGGACTTAAATGGACTGAGTTGTTTTATGCATTTTTGTGATTACAAATAAATGAAGCAGCCACGACTGAGTATGTGTTTTCTCATTTTACATGAAATAATGAAACAAATTAGTTGGATTTAGCATCAATGATGCACACTTTTGACAAAAAGTAATAAACTACTGTCACTGTAACTTTTTTAATCGTAAATCATTGGTAAAATATCGATGTTGGAGACTTTTTAAAACTTTATAAGTACGAAACTTCTATCAAGTTCGTTTTGCGATAGTTTTCATTAATTTCCCTCCTCGCTGGTGAAATTATGCTGTGTGCCGTTTGCTTCAGAAAGGCGTGTTCAGGCTGGTTCCCTCTCGAGCTTTCACGAGACATCCCGGAGTCGGCCAACTTTCGGCAATCTGACCAGCTTTTCGTGTGCTACGGTGGTTGTGCGAAGGGCCGGGCCGTGTCAAAACAGAGACTTTCCCACTGGATTGTGGACGCTATCACGGCTGCTTATACGAGCCAAGGTTTGGAATGCCCCTTTCACATTAGGGCCCACTCAACAAGAGCTATCGCCTCCTCCTGGGCGTGGTCGAGAGGTATGTCTATTCAAGATATATGCTTTGCAGCCGGCTGGTCTTCTCAGAATACCTTCGCCAGGTTTTACAAGCTGGACGTTCAGTCCTTAGCCTCCCGAGTGCTGTCGGTGAGTGACTGATTCACGTTTATGCTACCTCTATTCGTGTGTTGCTGCCTCGATTATCATGTTATGTGTTATGCTGTTTAACACCGCTATCTCTGTGCAGCCCCTGACAGTAATGTTGTTGCTTCTGCCCTGTTCTCAGCGCAGTCTACGTTATTAATGACCAGATATGCAAATTTCGTATGCCTGGGCATCATTGGCTTATCTCCACCTATCAGCTGCGAGCCCGCCTAACAAGCGTCGCTATTGGTTGGGAATTGTGTGTGTTCTATCTTCGCTGAGTGTGTAACTTGTACAGGCTGCTCGTAGCCTCTCTCATGGCGGGATTGAATATCGTTCCCATAACGAAGAAATATCTCCGTGATGTCTTGTGAAAGCTCGAGAGGGAACACTCCGGTTACTATCGTAACCTCGGTTCCCTGAGAGCGGGAACGAGACATCACGGTGGTCGCCGTGTTCGCTACTCGATCAGCTAAAGCTGCGTTCAGAATCAGATTCTGACGTAATTGTCGCGTGCACCGCATTTTATACTGCCGCTCGAGCTCGTCAGTATTTGCATGCGATTTGCATACTTCGCGTCAATTGGCCAGTCATTTGGACTGGCGGGAGCCAATAGGACTTCAGGAAAGGTTGGAAGGGAAGGAGTTCCCATAACGGAGAAATATCTCCGGGATGTCTCGTTCCCGCTCTCAGGGAACCGAGGTTACGATAGTAACCGGAGCGTTTTCTCCAAGTAGATATAACTGCAGACCGGAGATCACCAAAATGGGGCGTGAACTCCAAAAGTGGGCAGAACCTCCAAAATGGGGCGGGGTCTCCTCGCGCAAAGACTTTCACTATTGGCACTGGCTCCAGCCAATTGTTATTGACTTACATTTCAAAATAAAACTTTATAAATGTAAGATTGGCTTCTAGTTCATCTAAAATAAAATATGCTATATAAGTAAATATTCTCAGTGAGAGCAGAGCCCAAAGCTTGTGACCAGTGGTGTTTGGATTGGAGTTTGAACATCTGCTTCATGATGTAAACGGGAATCACCCACGAATTCCCCCGCGAGCCGTCCCAGCGCAGCGCAGGGGAAAGTTTTTACTCTATCGCTTTGGTCTAAGCAACGGGGGCGTCCTGGGGCTCGAAATTCGCAGGGTAGGAGGGGGTAGTGATGCTGGGTGTAACTAAAAAGGTGCCATTGTCCAGTGAGGTCCGGTTGGAGAGTTACGGAACGATCTCATATCGCATAATTTTATTAACTGTTTATCTCCTGAACGGCATCTTTCTTTACCACGCTATTCAGCGCCAATCCCGCCGTGCAGTCAATTTCACTGGTTAAGGTTAGGGTCAGGTGTGGGGTAGATTTAGGGGTTAGCATTTTTTGTAGCATAGTGTAGGAAATCAACTCTTTAATTGACACAACCAATAAAATCTTTAGAATCAGCTGTGGGGCGGAGTTTGCACTGAAGTGGATTGGGTGGAAAAGTGCGCATGCGTGTCTGTCAATGAGAGGAAGCCATGCCCTATTTTGGAGCTCCCACCCCGTTTTGGAGTTCCCGCCCGCATTTGGAGATCTCCAGGCTGCAGTTATACCCTTCTCGTTTTTTAGAGTAGCGCTGGTCCAACAGTGGAAGCGCACATTGGCCCCGCCCGGCTCGTTAGCCCTGGCTCGAACTGACCAGACAGTGGAAAAGCGACAACCCCTGTGGTAGACCGACTCCACTTGCATTCATTCACGCGATTTGTCGAGATGAGAGGTGACCCTTCCTGGTACTGTGATTTATATACTTTTATTTCACCAGACACTGACGCTTTGACTCTGAGTACTGGCAACATATCAGAAGTGCCGGTACGCACAAAAAAGTGCCGGTACGCTAAAGACCAGAAGTGTCGGTACTGCGTACTGGTGCGTTCTGGTGCGTACACTTCAAGCACTGGTCCTGGGGGTCGACAAACAACTACAAAATAGATTTTAAGAGGGTGGGTACTGAATGTGATTCAAAGGAGCTGTTGATACTCATGAGTTGGTAAAGCATTACATTTCCAATCATTAGAGATAAGCAGACCAGTACCTTCACCTCTTCCAGTCAAACAGGGGGAGTGGGAAAATTAAAAATTATTGGAGAGTGCTGCAGGCGTACCATTGTACTCTGGTTTGATCCACGTCTCTGTCAGGGCCATGAGGTTTAGTCTTGAATGACTAGTAATAGAAGTAATAAAATCTGCTTTGTTTACAGCAGCAATTCAAAAGACCAATAGAAAATGAAAGTAGTCTATTAGTAGACATAGGCAAAGTGCGCAGGTTGTTAGGATTGTGCTGCCTACAGTGAGTGATGTGTGGTTTGCGAGTGGTAGTGATAGTAGGGATCTGGAAACATATAGTAAGAATTGGTTAAAACAGAAGTGAAACAAGTAGTAGAAAAGAGGAGAAATAAAAAGCGATACTTATGTCCCTTGCCGGTGTCCCTGCCCGGTGGAGTCGCACGGTAGAGTCGATGGTCTTTACACTCTTCGGTCTTCACACGAGTAGGGCTTCACGCGAGGGTTGCCACAACCGCTGCCACGGTATACTAAGCTTTTTTTATATCTGTCTAGCAAATTGAATTCTCTAATTGAATTCAGCATCTCTACTTGAATTCAGCTGGACACACCTGTTTATCACAACAAATGGCCAAGTAAGCGCACGATTGCCTACCCGATATTTTATTTTCAACATTTTGATTATTTCCTTCATTTTTATTGAAAATAAATGCCTTTGCGATGCGATATGAGAACGGGTCGATCGGGTCAAAAAGCACGCCCCTTACCATCTACAGCTACACCACTGAAATTGATGTTTAACGAGGGTCCTTTTTCAGTGTTGACTATCCCAATCATACAATAGGTGGGCGGAGTTAGTGTAAATAGCCTCTGCCAACACGTTGGGCTATTTGCTATCAAACTTTGTATAAAGATTATTCTCAACTATGTTATGAAAGATATTACAGAATGATTTGACATACCATTTTGCTTTATGCAGTATGTGTGTAAAAAGGCCATGAGAGGCCATTAAAGTTAATTAAAACAGTTAAGAATAAAAGATGATGATACATAAAATAGAGGGAATATTATTTAAAATATTTATTTTACTGTATGCTCATTATGTTCAATTGCCAAGAAAGGAAAGTACACAAAATCTTTATGTGCTATCCCAAACTAAATTTTGATTACAATATGTAACATGCAGAGAGACCAGGCAAAGGCAAGGATCTAAGTGCAAAGAGTCATTAAAAAGAGACAGAAAAACATCCATCAGAACACAGGTAAGAAGGAATTCCCAACAGAAGCACAAACATCGACTGACAGCGCGCAAGAAACACTAGGGCTGCGTTTACACTTGGCATTAACATGCGACGTGTATCCGGATGTTGTCCACACATTGAAAAGACAAGTGTTAACGCGCTTCTGATTAGAATGTTATCCGAGCCGCGTGTCCTGCTCCAGAGGTAGTCGAGGATGCATTATGATCGGATCTCAATGTAATGTAGACGCTCTCTATTAAGCGGGAGGAGCGCTGACAGTCAATGTCCATTTATGGTTTTATGGTTGTTGGTATTGTCTTGTTGCAGTATTTTACTTGCTTGTTTTTTTTTTATATTTTTATTTTTGGTATTCTTTATTCTTTATTGGTGGTTGGTGGAGTAGCATCACCCAGAGCGATATATATTTTTTATCCGCACCAGGGATAAATATAATTCAGCAGAGACAGGGATACATTGACCAGAAGGGGGAAATCCCCCCCATCCCCCCCTACAAATTGCACCCTGATGGTAACCATGGAAACTAACAAAGGAGCTACAAGAGTGAAGCTAACAGAGGGGAACTAACGGACACAATAGGAACAGGGAAAACGCTACAAAAAGATCCAGACATAAACACAGGGAATATATAACACAATACAGATAATGATAAATTATATACGGGGACAGGACAAACAAACCTGTATTTGGGACTCACCATAGACCGTAACATTGAATCTGTATGTGGTCTCTGTCTTGCCGCTGATGGCTAGTGTATATTCTCCAGAGTGTGTGGTTCTGGTGTTTGTGATGGTCAGAGATCCAGTCTGCTGATCCAGCTGCAGTCTGTCTCTGAATCTCCCATCAGGAACATCAGATGTGTTGTAGATATTAGCTCGTTTATTGATTTCAGCTATAAGAGTCTCTGAACATCCAAATGTCCATATCACCAGATCATCTGTCTGTAGTTCAGTAACATTTGTGTTTAGAGTGACTGAATGTCCCTCCTTCACTGTCTTCACTGCATCTGTATCAACAAACACTGGAGAACAGAGTTTCTCAGTCACTCAATAAATCTCATTCATCTTACTGAAGGAAAAATTCATTTCTTAAAGCTGCTTTAATTCGTTTATTTAATTTAAGTTGAAATTATCTCAAACTTTGTAAATGCTCTTTTTGGCTTTGAAATTAAGTAAGACTTTAAACATTTAAATCATTATATAGAGAAAGGTGAGTATTTGAGCTGTATTAGTTTAGTTTAAACTCAGGCAGACTAAATGGTCGAAGGTCCTTGAATAAGTCCTCTGTGCAATCTGACTTTGTTGCAGTTTAGAAACTGCTGGTTTCGTCTGGCCATAGGAGAAGGACACACTATTTCCCAGTTTAATCATGTAAAGCTGCTTTGACACAATTTGCATTGTAAAAAGCACTATATAAATAACGGTGACTTGACTTGACTAGACTTTAGATAACAACAGTCTTTACAGAGCCACGTCACCAGCAGATCGGTTTCAGGAGAATTTAACTGGACATCAGCATCTCTGGTGATGATTTTTGGCCTCAAAAAGAATTACTGACAAAAAAAATGTTTAACTTTTCAGGGCATCATGATACAATAACACGTATGTGAAGCTTTGCAAAGATATATGTTGATGATCATATTCTCTTAATCTGTGAGAATGCCTTCTATGTAATGAAGCAAAACACACACATCGCTGAATTTCACCTTATTGAAACCAAAAATATTTTTTAAACTTACCAGCCAGGTATGAACAGCACAAACAGCAAATAAAACAAAATGAGTGAAACATTTTCTTCAACAGTTCAGTAGAAAGTAGAAATGTCCTGTAGAGACTGTCAGTAATCACTAAGCTGAAAACTACTCTGCAGTGTGACCCAACACAGCAAGTGTGAGTAAGGGTGTGTGTTTGTGTGTTTCACAGCTGTGCGGTTTTTTTGTGTGTGTGTGTGTGTGTATTATTCACACTCTGTGTTTCCTATACATTTTTAGACAGTGGGTGCTGTTAATGATACTGCACTGCATTTTAGAAATAATCTCTATTAACTGGACTTTGTATTACCTAGACCAGCAACACACGCTCACATGTTGCTGCTTAGTGTGTCTCCAAACTCTAAACCATTGCCCTTGTAATATCTAAAGATGTCGATTTAAGTATTTTACATGTATTTAACAGTAACTCTGGGACATATCGGAGTCATGTGACTTGCAGTCAAATCTCTCTAATGCTTCTTCTTAAAGAGATAGTTAACCCAAAAATGAAAATTACCCCATCCTAGGTGTCTGACTTTTTTCTTTTAGATGAATACGATCATCTAAAAGTTATATTAAAAGATTATGTACATGTTATAAAAATAAATCCTGTGCAACTGAAACGTTGCATCCCAGGTCATTTAAGGTTAAGGTGTAGGTCAGGGGTTTTCAAGGTCAAAGACAGTTGGCCTCCCTTTTGACACAACGTACACAATAGCCTCACCCCTCCACCCTCTTAATTTTTTACCAATATTCAATAGTAAAAAAAATTAAATACTTTTTAATTTTCAGAATTCACAATGTATGTAGTAAACACAGGTTTATTTGCACATCAATAATACTACTAAGAAGAGCATCAATAATAAGACTTATCTAGACCTAATGTGTGTAATGTTGTTTTTACCTTTATTACAGTTGTGATCCATCCAAACTTTTCTAGCAAGTCACTGGTTTGCTTCCAGCTCAGACGTGTAGTTTGCGATGCAATGTACTGCAATGCAGTCAGATATATCTGTTGATTTCTTAAAGGTGTCATATGACGTTGCTAAAAAGAACATTATTTTGTGTATTTGTTGTAATGCAATGTGTGTATGCGGTTTAAGGTAAAAAAAAACATTATTTTCCACATAATGTACATTATTGTTGTTCCTCTATGCCCCGCCTTTCTGTCGATTTTTAAAAAGCTCATCATTCTGATGAGTGCAATGAGCCCCAGAGGCTTATGGCTCGTTTCCACTGAGCGGTATGGTACGGTTCGGTACAGTACAGTATGGTATGCAATTATTTCCGTTTCCACTGTCAGAAGTTGTGAATGGTACCAAAATAGTGAACTGTACCTTACCACTTCTTTGGTACCCTTCTGTTGGGGTACCTAGCACAGCAAAGGGTACCAAAAGGGTGGCGCTAAACTCGCCGCAGAACGTTGATTGGTTGACTAGAATCGTCACTTTTGCGTAATACAAGAGGATAAAGCTTCTCCTTCACTCGTTCTGCTCTGCTATCCATGAGTGTTGGGCTTATATCAGAGTGCGCAAACACAAAAAAATATAACCGTGTATTTTATCATTTTATATTTTCACACAGACAATAGCCGTTTCTCAATATGCGTTCTTGTCTGTTCTTGTGGACTTGTGAAACATCATTGCCCAAAAACCCGTGTCATTTTCTTAATATTACAGTTATTGTGTCATGAAGTTTAAGAGTTTTTCAGGCGAGAATGTAATTGTTTAACCACTTAAGCTCTGGGCGGTTTTTGGTCTCTTGTTTCTCATTTTCCTCTTGACAATACCCCATAGATTCTCTATGGGGTTCAGGTCTGGTGAGTTTGCTGGCCAGTCAAGCACACCAACACCATGGTCATTTAACCAACTTTTGGTGCTTTTGGCAGTGTGTGGGCAGGTGCCAAATCCTGCTGGAAAATGAAATCAGCATATTCAAAAAGCTGGTCAGCAGAAGGAAGCATGAAGTGCTCCAAAATGTCTTGGTAAACGGGTGCAGTGACGTTGGTTTTAAAAAAACACAATGGACCAACACCAGCAGATGACATTGCACCCCAAATCATCACAGACTGTGGAAACGTAACACTGGACTTCAAGCAACTTGGACTATGAGCTTCTCCACCCTTCCTCCAGACTCTAGGACCTTGGATTCCAAAT